TATTGAAACCGAAAAAAAATTGATAGTGAAAAACAATTAATTGAAACTGTAATTTTTTTGTTTTCGCTTACAATTTTTTTTTTCGGTTTCAATCCATTTTTCGGTTTCAAACCATTTTTCAGTTTCAATCTGCTGGCACTGTTTTGGCGTCCGGGGGCGCGCTGGGGGGACGGGGTTTCCGGCCCGCATGTATTTGCATACATTATAGAGGCCACTAGTGCTGACCAAGCTGCCATCTTTCTCTCTTCCCGTCTTTCAATGGCTGCTTCAATTTCAGCTTGAACCTCCAATCCGCAAGTAAGTAATCATTTTTTGTCATCTTTCCTTGCTGTCCCACTGCTTTGTTGTTCAACACCTTGAACAACAAAGCCAACAAGATACATCAGCTAAGGCAGGAACTGAAGAGCCTAAGGCAGCAGCTCAAGGTGGGGAGTGAAAAGGAGAGGGGACCCCTTGCAAAATTACGTAGCATAATCCGCAAGAGGTTATTGACCTTGAGGAGAGCTGAGTGGCACAGGAGGAGGAGGAAGGAGAGAGCCAGGAGGCGAGCCAGGAGGCGAGCCAGCTTCCTAGCGAATTCTTTTGGGGTCACAAAACAGCTGCTAGGTGAGAAGCGCAGTGGGCATCTTGTCTGCCCTAAAAGCGAGGTCAATCACTACCTCAAGGAGATCTACAGTGATGAATGTAGAAAGCAAGATCTTGGTCCGTGTCAAGCCCTGATCAACCCATCGCCACCAGTGCAGGAATTTGATGGGGAGGAGCCCAGCTGGAAGGAGATCCAGGAAGTGAGCAAGAGAGCTCCATTCTGGGGCCCTGTGGGGTACCTTACAAAGTTTACAAGAACTGGCCGAGGCTACGGACTAGACTCTGGAAAATCCTGAGGGTGATTTGGAGGAGGGGCAAAGTAGCAAACCAGTGGAGACAAGCGGAGGAGGTGTGGATCCCAAAGGAGGAAAGGTCCAAAAACGTCGATCAGTTCCGGACCATCTCGTTGCTGAGTGTTGAAGGGACGGTTTTCTTTAGTGTCGTCGCTAAGTGACTGACAGAATATCTTCTGAAGAACTCTTACATGGATAACTCAGTCCAGAAAGGAGGGATCCCGAAGGTTCCAGGGTGCCTGGAGCATACAGGCGTGGTCACACAGCTCATTAGGGAAGCCAGGGAGAACAAAGGGGACCTGGCAGTACTATGGCTCGACCTCACAAATGCCTACGGATCTATACCCCATAAGCTGGTAGAACAGGCACTGAACCGGTACTACATCCCGGAAAAGCTCAGGAACCTTATCCTGGACTACTACGCTGACTTCCACCTGAGAGTCTCTTCCGGAGCAACAACTTCCGACTGGCATAAACTGGAAAATGGGATCATCACTGGATGCACGCCCATCCTTTTCGCTCTTGCCATGAACATGTTGGTTAAATCTGCAGAAGTCAAGTCCAGTGTAGAGGGCCACTCACTAAGTCTGGAGTCAGGCAGCCACCCATCAGAGCTTTCATGGATGAGCTGACGGTGACAACTACATCTGTTCCAGGGTGCAGGTGGATACTGAAGGGTCTTGAGGAGATGATTTCTTGGGCACGCATGAGGTTCAAATAGATAATAATAATAGCTGTAATAGACGTTAGGACGGGGCGGAAGTGGAGAGGTGCTGAGGCTGTAGACATTGCAGTATCAAGGCTACAGCAAAGGGTACTGGAGGGTACAGTGGCCCAGGGGAGAGGTAGTAGGGTAGCAGTAGAACACCTAACTATGACAAGGCACAAGGAAAAGAGAGGCGGTCGCTGATCCTTGAGGAGGTGCGAGCAGGAGTTGAGGAGAAGCGAGCCAGCCAAATTGTGCAATTGAGGCAACAGGGGGCTTGGACAAGATGGGAGCAAGCTGTAGAGCGCAAGGTCACATGGAATGAGCTGTGGAAAGCTGAACCCCAGCAGATAAAATTCCTGATCCAGGCGGTATATGATGTGCTACCAAGTCCATCGAATCTCTTCACGTGAGGGAAGGTGGAGACACCAGGCTGTCTTCTCTGTTAGAAGAGAGGAACCCTAGAGCACATTTTAAACTGCTACCCAAAAGACCAGAAACCCCCAATGACCCCAGGTAACATTACTGATGATGTGTCCAGGGGCACCAGAGGGTGTATCATCAAGTGCTTATGTGAGTGGACAAAACTGCTTATCTTAGTGTGTGTATGTTTCAGAGCTACTTTGAAAGCATAGCTTTGCAAGCTGTAATTGCTTTGACACAGGAACAGGTTGAACTAGAATAAAACTACACTGAGGACAAATTCCTCATCTTTAAAGTATTTACCTCACAGGTAGAAACACAGTGGTTTTGCCAGTGGGCCTTTAGCTTGGGGATTCTTCTTTAGAATCCTTCTGAAACAACATGGGACTCTCCAAATATCTATGCATTGGGAGCAGTGTCAGCAAAGTCTCGTGTGATTTTCTTTGAGCATAAATTCAAGTCAACATGAAAGTGAAATTCATTAAGTAAATCCAAACACATTCAATTAAATAATTAGAAAATAATAGAATTTTCTCTCATTGAGTTTATTTACTATTATTAAATAGTTTCAATCAAAGATTGAACTTTTTGGAAGACAGAGCAATTTATAAAAAGATCATCATACCAGCGGTCAAATATGGTGATTATAGTGTGATGCTCCAGAGCTCCTTTGCTGCTTTCGGACTTGGACAACTTGACATAACTGATTGAACCATGACTTCTTCTCTTCTGGTCATCATCATTCAAGGTGCTGGTTGGCACCTTGAATGGAAAACTCTCCAGTGTGGATGCATTTAAACAAAGTGCCACCTTATTCAATTGTTATTTTGGGGAATTTTTTTCTGATATAAAAATTTGTGTGAAGATCTGAAACGTAAGTTTGACAAATATGCAAATGAGGAAGGGGGCAATATTTTTTTCACAGTGCTATGTTTAAGATGGGCAATGTTGCACAAAAGTGAAGAACTGTTTGTACAAAACAGTAAAGATCCTTATCAAAGCTGACTACCTAATCCAAATCAACATTTCTGACAGTTAATAAAACTGAAAGTGAAATTGCGCAGGCACAGATAAGAAGGACAGATACCTGGCTGCCATCCACTTCTTTATAACATTAGTGCAGTCATAAAGGGCAGCTATATTCTGGGGTTTGAATGACATTTGCAACTGGATATCATCTGTAAAAAAAAGTAGTATGAGATGGCTTCAAAGGTATTGACGATGTGTCCAAGTGAAAGCATAGACAAGGCAAATAAGATGGGCCTGAGGACCTCACCTTTAGACACACTACAAGATAAAGTGACAGAAGATGACACAAGTTAAAATGCAGATTCCCACCCAAGTTTTTAGTCTCTTAATCAGGAGACCATGATCAGCTGTGTCAAAGGCAGCAAAAAGATCGAACAGTAAAAAAACACTGAGTATTCAGCTGTTAAATGTTACTGAAACTTGAAACCCACAGTTACACATCATTTATGACTGCACTATAGCTCGGTGACCGGACTATGTTGTCATGCAGTTGTATAATGGCAACCTAGTTGAAATAGAAAGGATAACTATTTCTCAGAGCCCAAAGGTTGTCTTTAAGTTTGGCAAATAGCTGATATGATTTACTGCTTAGTGACATTGTTATCCTTTGAAGCTTGTAAATAGCAACCTATCAGAAAGTTGCAGTGGGCCTGAGAGGTCAAAGGTCACTGCAACTTAATAGTTTTGATCCTTAAAAAAAGTCAAAGCTCTTCACAAATATTTTGTTGTTGTTGTTGTTGTTGACCAGTACGTGATGTTCAGTGTTTGGAAGTTTCATGATATCAAAGTTAATTATGAATCTGGAATAGTGGTCTTAGACCAAAGCATCTGATCATCTCACATTTGTTGCCTAACCCTATATGGTACAAGTCATCAAGTGTGTTTTATTGCTACTTTTTTACACAGAGATTATAGTTCACTTTCAAAGTAAATCCAAAAAAGGAACAATGAATACTGTAAACACTGTCATCCTTAGAACTGATTAATCTACAGCCTTTATTGTTGCAAACAGACTCATCTGTCAGTACTGCTGTGACGTCATTAGAAACATTAGTATATTTGTAGAATTAAAATCTGCGAGTTAATCATTGTGCTCCAGTCCCCCTCTGTCCTCTGAATTGCACTGATCACATTTAATTAGCAGGGTTAGTGTGCTTTCTGAAGACAAGATTTCCCGTTTTACTGTCAGGGTTGTGTTAATTTAACTGGAAACTGAAAACTAGAGCTCTGTCTTAAAACAAGACACATGATGATGACCTGTATGTGGCCAGATATTCACAGCATAGAAAAAAAAAGTCATATAGCAGCCATTTTGGGAAAGTCTCAGAGGAACCAAAATAGAGAGCTCAACTATGACATATGTCATGAAGAATTAAGGCAGTTCTGAATGCCAACAGAGTCAGGTGCTGGATTGGACACTAATAATGTTGATTAATTTGTCATAACAGGTTGAAAATGTAGGTGAAATAAAATAAGTTGAGTATATTTGTGATAAGATTAATTGTTTTACTGTTTTTGTATGACATGCATTTATGAGCACTTGGTACGTATCCTTTGCTCGTTTACCTCCTTTATGGTTGTAGCAGACTTCTGATTGGAGAGAGCTTGAATGGTTTGTGTGCACGGTCATTCTGCATCTCCATAAATAGATGTCCAAGCTCGTGCAATAGTGAAAGTAAACAACATTTTCTTGGCCATACTTCTACAGAAGTCTACATTTTTATGACTTTTTAAACATTTCAAATGGAGTTGTGGAAGAAACTACTCATTGGGGGTGGCATCACTGCTCTTATTACTTTAATCCTCGGCTTGTCATTGGGACTGACTGTTGGTCGGAGGAATATTAAGTCTACATTTTTCTCTAGGTGTGAGAAGTTTAAAGAGTAAGTGAAAATATTTCAACACTTTTTTTAATTTACAATTTTTGTTATGTCTAAATTTTTACGACTTTTTACGCATTTATAATGGAGCATGAGCAGTCTCGTCGACTGGGGAAGCGCTGCGTAATATTAATTGTCATCGTTGTCCTTATTGTAATCGGCGCCGTGGTGTTGGGACTGACTCTCAAAAGTGGATTTGAATCTACATTTTTGTCTAGGTGTGAGAAGTTCAGTCAGTAATCAATGATTGATCTGTTAACGTTCTGTATCATGCCAGCTGGTTTGCACATTGTTAATATCTAATAATAATGTATACCACTGCACATTATCATTAAATCCACGTAGACATAACATTATCAGCACGTAGACATAATGATAATGTGCATTGAGTAAATGGAGATATGAACTGCAATATGTCTGTCAGGTGTTTTTGCGTGTTTCTTTTTGTGATATTTTTGTGATATTTGAATTTTGCAAGAAACAAGAAAAAGTTACAAAACATGATATCACCAAGTGCACATTCAGCGTCCACAGTCTAACCCCATGGCAATTTCCCTGCCATGAACTTCTTTCAATAATATCTTTAATCATCTGGTTTTGTTGACACCAGTTTTTTTTTATTATATATATAAGAGTTATGTAAATGTGTTACACTATTTAACATACTTAGCATTTCTTTAAATCAAAATACATGTAAACATTAAACAATATAAACACACTTAAACATTAACAAACTTTATTAATTTTTCAGATATGACTGTAAAGAGTTATGGGATCTCTTTCAGCAGGCCTATGTGAACAAGGATCCATGTAACGTGCCAGTGGAAGCTTATAATCCCCTGATTGCTGCAGCCCCCTTCAAACCTCAGTGCAACAAAGTAATAATCAGTGATTACACCATCTCAATCATCCCATCTGCCACAATCATTCATGATCTGTCTAACAATCCATAAATATCTGTTTGTGGGTTAGATGATGTTCTGGAGCAAAACAAAGGATGTGGTCCATGGTTTCACTGCAAAGAGAAAGGATTGTTTTGTCACTTTGGAGGACACTCTGTTGGGATCTGTCCTGGATGATCTGACGTGGTGTGGAAAAGAAGGCAGCAAGGGTAACACTCTCAAAGCAGCAGATAAGAGTTTTAAAGTTTATTATTCGAGCGCTATAAAAATCTAGACACCGGCAAAAGAACACTGACAGTTTATATAGAGTAGTTTATATAAATCATGCTAAAATCTTAAAATATATGTAATTTGTCGTGCAAGACATGATTTGTTATTTGTGTGGCCTGTTGTTACATTTACATACCAACAGCAAGTCATGTCAAGGTTTTTGAGCCCTGAAATTTAAGGAGAATTTCATAAACTTGTCACTTGAAGAATACACTCACACACAGATCAGATAAACCTTTAAGTGTTCGTGCCCTCACATGTTCTGAGAAGATTGCAGCTTTCACACAACAGCTATCACTTGAGAATGATCTAGAAACCATGTGAAGTTAAACACAATCAGGCTACAGAAAACAGAAACATAGAAGTCTACAAAACTTTCTATGTAAGCAGAGCATCTTTTTAGCTCCCCCTTTTTAAAAAGATACTATTAGGATACAGTTTCTCTAATAGTTTAAGGTCAGCTCACCAGAGCTGAAATTCTGTAAGAATTTCTGTGCCCTTGCTTTGAGTAAAGCAGCATTTTCAGGTTTTATTCTTTAGTAATTGATCCAAACACACTATAGAAGTGATTTTACATTTGAGCTACTCAGAGAAGATTTGGAGTCAACCCTCTGATTAAGCAGCTGTGTGCCCTAGTTTTGTCTTTTTTCTTTTCTGTCCTGTGTGGTTATGTAGTGTTGTGAGATTTCTTTCCTTTGTTGTATTTTATTTTGAGAAGCTAACCCAAGAAAATATGCATGTTGTTGTCATAGATACCTTCACTACTGGGTGCTCCAAAAAGTGTGTAAACAACCCTGTTGACTCATTTTGGAGAAGTGCCTCTGCTGCTGTAAGTTTTTAACATTAATTTGCTCGCTTTTCTTTCTCTCTGTTAAACAGTATAGTCCTGAGGTCGTGCATTGATTAAAATGACACACGAGTGGACCGCAGAGTGCAGCAAATCCCCCCTGAGTGTAAATGACGGTGATGGAACAAAGAAATGTTCACGCTGTCTCGTAGTCTGTCAATGAGGCTTTGGGTCAGTCTCGATCTCTAGAAGAAATGGAAAAACTGGAAAAACGACCACAGTCGCATTAAAAAATGACATCTGTGAAATTATTGCAACATTTGGACAGTAAAATAATTTTAAATACAAAATTGCATCATAATGGTAAAACCTCAGTGATACGTTGCAGCCTCATACTTCCTGTTATGAATATAATGATGTTCACATAATATCAAACTGGAGTAAGAAGTGCAGTCATTTCTCTGAATAAGGGACTTTAGATATGTCCAATGTTCTGTTATCACATCAATAGTGATAAACCTCACTTTACAGGAAGACACAAATACCAAAGTCTAAATTAGGGACAAAATATTGTGTTACTTTTTAGTTTTTGTCACGGTCTGGCTAGCAGACCGTGGGGAGGTGGGGAAACAGGACCCAAACGCCGGACTCTTCAGTGCAACAGTGTTTATTTACAGAGTGGTGAAGTAAGCAACAATAAATTCCCCAGTTTCCCAGACTCCTGTGTTGTGTCTTCTTCCCAGAAAAGTCCCAGTGTAGTGCTCTCTGCTCCAGTGTCCCTGCACTCCCCGTGCTCACTGCTCCTTCTCGTCCCACACTCGTCCTGAGGGAAAACAATAGAGGCAGCCATTACACACTTATCCCAGCAGGCATACACTCACACTTTCTGACTGTGCTTGAAGACTGACGTGAAGTCAAACGCAATAATCCCGCGCCGGTGGAAGCTCCATGGCTCTTCTAAATAGCTACCCCGAGGAGCCCAGATGAGGAGCAGGTGTGTGGCAAGGACTTAAGGTGTGGCCAGTCCTCAAGCTAGGCCACGCCCCTCAGGCCTGAAGGTGCCTGTAACATGGCCACAGAAAACAGCAACACACACACACACACACCTGCTTACATACGGATGTGGCCAGAGATAAGAGGCAGTGCAGAAAAGACACCAAATGATAATAATAATGACAATAATAAT